TCCCTCCACCTTCTCCTAAAAAGTTTGGAACAAATTCATTATAATTATTATCATAAATTTTTCTACTGAAGCTACTGTGTGTAATAGTTATATTCTCATGTACTGAGCATTTATCAGATACTGAATTCTATGTTAGCCATTGTGAACCCAAGATGTATACAGTGGAATTATGGACTTCAAGAATCTGATAGTAAAATAGTCAACTCATATATTTCACATATATCAAAGCATCAAGTTGTACATCTTTAACATGTACAATATTTGTTTCTCAAATATACCTCAATAAAGCTGGAGATAAAATCTTATGGTGTGTCTGAAATTGATACAATAATCAGTGTCCGGAGGCAATGATCATCACAATTTTAATATATTTATTTATTTATTTTAAAAGGATTCTTTAAATTTTAATACTCTAACATAAGAATAAGCAGGAAATGGGATATAAGAATAATTAAGAAATACATATATACTTAGACAAAGCTCATGAGGCATTTTTACAATAATGATAAAAACAAATAACTATATACCAGAATTACCCTCGGTACAGGTAATAGGGGGTAATCATGATTTAAGGGAGATAGACCATTCCATACAATTTGAAATTGCTGAATAAACACTAACTTGGATTTGTTTTTGCCAATAGCAATTCACCTGTCATAAGCATCAGTTGCACTTGGAAACTCACCCTTAACTTATCATAATAGCAGTTGTGTGTTGATTCAATGTCCATCTCCAAGATCCTACCATGGACAACTTGAGAGGCATTCACATTCACTATCCATTGGTAATCAGAGTTGTGAGGGTAATTTCCAGGCCATAAGGGAGAGGCAACTTTCCCATGAGTTCCCACAATATTGTCATTGCCAAATACTAGGAGGAAAAACGAAGTAATAAGTCAGACCTACTTAGAACAGCTCTTTAGTCAGATGAAAGAAAAAGGCAAGGGGTGTTGAAAGGATGCCCTTTTAATTGGCTGTGATTTCTTTTCTGACCACTGAAAGAAATACTGCTTCCCTTTTGGTTTCTGTGCTGTCTATTAAATGCTGGAGAACGGTAATTTTGTGAATGGAATTCCATCTCCTTAGAAGGTTGTTAGTGTGAAAACAAAGGATAACTTCTGACTTGAAAGGAATTCCCAAACCCAAGAGGACCCGGGGACATGGGGGTTACCAGCCCCATTTTCTCATTTTGGTTTACCTACTTTACTTTGTCTTATAAGAGACTAAAACGTGTTTATAAAAATTATATAAGATAAGAGGATCTGACATTTGGGAAAGACACACACACACACACACACACACACACACTCACACACACACATTAGCTAATAATTATAGAAAAGTTGAGTTAGAAAAATAAAATTTAACATTTATGCTTTTAGAAGAATTTCCTGTTGTTATAATTGAGCAACTTAGTCAATTCCAAAGTATTATTAAATGTTTTAATTTGAAGAATATAAGTTTTATGGGATCAAACACATTTGATTCTAAATATACCAACCCTGAACTATAATACCTTCAAAGAATAACACACTATCAAGAAAAATTCAATTTAACAATTAGATAGAACTAAGCTTAAGAAAAATATTAGAACCCTTCAGCATTCTTACTGGCCCTTAATGAGCCATTCATATGTGATGTAGTTTTTCTAATATATTACATAATGAAGTAATCCCACAAGGACAATACACATAGGAGAATTGTGTAGAGTTCAGGGCTATTCCCAGCACATTCCTGAAAGTAGTGTTAGCCTTTCCAGTTTGTAGGATTCATTCTGGAAGCCATCACTGAAACAGAACCAACTTACTGTTAGCAAACGTGGCCTGGAAGCCTGTGCCACTGCCTGAGCCATCGGATACAAATCTGATCCACAGGTTGTGTGCAACAATGGATGAGTAATTGAGGGGGAGGGTGTTTCCACAGTATCGCCCCACCAGGTGACCGGTGGCATTTTCTTCCCGGATCTCTACAAAATCTCTGCTACAGTCCTGAGAATCCTCCAACTGGAACGTTCTGATTTGAAAAGGAAAAAAAAAATAGGGGATTAAATTAACAGAATAAATTTGGGGATTATCCTGAACCCCATGCTGGGTTAACCTGGTCACTTTTTAAAATGTTCTTTAATTTTAATCACAAATTTCTTTCACTAAAATTTGTTGAAATGTCTAGTCAAGAGATACAAAGGTAATTAATACACTGCCTTCTAGAAGAGGTTTTTTCTCTAGTGATAAAATTGGTCAAGAATACAGAAAAAAAATATAAGGCAGGATATCTTGACTGCCATCAGAGCTACCACATGGTTAAGAACTTTGAGGTGAAGGTAACACATTTGTTTGTTAGGCTCAGTAACGCTTGGTGGAGAGAGTTTTAGAGATGGAAATGTAAATATTAGCTGAATTCAGGTGCAGAAATGGTGGACAGAGAATGCATGCCAGCAATAGCACATGCAAAAAAGGATGGAGTATATTTAGAAATCTGTAAGAGGTCTAGTTTGCTTAGAACTTTCAGTACTTTTAAGAAAAGTTACAAGACATAGCTAGAGCAGTATGAGGGGCTAATTTTGACAGAGCTTAAATGTCGATCAAAGGCACACGCACTTAATTTCTAGAAAGGTAGAAAAAATATGGCATTCATAATAACATAGACTTGTTCAAGCATGTCCTATTCAACTTGTATTATATTCTAATTATGATGATATGAGGGAATAGAGGGTAGGAAATAATGTCTACTTTATATGATGGTCATTAGTAACATATATAGAGTCTGAAATAGGTACTAAATGGATGCTTTCAAAACTTTAATGCTTTAAAAACCTGGATATAATCAAGATAGTGTGGAATTGGTGTAAGGGTAGATAAATGAATGACATAGAAGAGAAAGTCCAGAGAAAAATCCACAAATATAGGGCCAATATAATTCAATCCACAGTGTCAAGATAAGCCAATGGGGGGTTGTTTTAACAAGTGGTGCTGCATTAATTGGATATCCTTATGGAGGAGAAGAAAAAGAACATCAACCCCTGCCTCTCTCCATATACAAATTAATTTAATATTTCTCATAGATATAAACCTAAAATCATAAAACTCCTAGAAGAAAACATAGACTATCTTTATAACTTCAGGATAGGCAAATATTTCTTAGAATGAAAAGGCACTAAATATAAAATTAAAAATTTAATAAATTTGACTTCATAAAAATAAAAATGTATCCTTATAGAATGCATGAATTAAAAAATAAATAGGCAAGTCACAGAGTTTGGGGAAGAGGAAAGGAGAGATCATTGCAAAACTTATATCTAATAAAAGACTCAGATCTGGAATATAAAAGGAATTCCTACCAAAAAAACCCCACAACACAATGAAAAAAACAAATAGCCAAATTAGAAATGAACAAAAGACTTGAACATATACTTCATAAAAGATGATGAGTGAATGGTCAATGAAATTGTGAAAAGTACATTACATCATTAGTCATCAGAGAAACATAAATTATATATCACAATAAGATACCATTTCACACTTATCAAATGGCTAAAATTATAAAGATTGACAAGATCAAAGGTTTTTAAGTATGCAGAGCAACTGGAAGTCTCATAAATTTCTTGTAGAAAAGTGT